ACTAATGACCACTGACAAGAATTGAGATAAAGGGGCCAAATGTGGCATCAAGGGCTGATACAAAAGACTTTTGAAACTTCTTGGAATGCTAAACCAATAAAAACCTGTATCACTGATACAGGTAAAAACTTGTGTGATGGCTAAGCCTGTTTGAAATCTTTTCATGCTAGCTTTTTTCTCTGACAAAATATTTTACAGTGTACCTAACGTTACTGCATGAAAAGCCTTTGTTTTTATTTAAAAGCTGTAATGAAAAAAACATTTTCTTTAGTGTGGCACATGTAAGATTGCTTCAGCTAAAATCTTCACAAGTTATGTTTTTAGTGACAGCAGCTGACTTTTAAAAAGAAATATTCAAGAAAATTACAGTCCTCTGCCATAAGTATATTCTTGCACTAAACTGAATCGGTAGTCGTACTGACGTACGTCAGGAGATTTAATAGCCTTGCTGAGCGGAAGAGGTTATCAAATCTCCAAAGAAGAATTAGCATGTTGGCCGCTAGTCTCAATTCAATTTGTTAAGTATCTAATTGGTTCCAAATAAATTTATATTATAACCTATTTACATGTCAGTGTATTTCTACTACTGTATTACACAGAAAGTAATACTGTCAGTGAAAAAGAGTGAGCTTCTTTCTTTATTTCCCATGCATTTTCCACTGTAACTGTAGAATTCAAGGACTTGAAATTTTGTGCAGTATCAGGGAACAGCAGAATAAAACTGTTAGGTATTTGTTATAATGTAATGTTTACCAAGTGCTGATTTTATGGAGGAAGACAGAGGCAGCTGCTTAATTAAGTAAGAAGCATTAAATGGAAGAACTGTATTTCAAATGTTGATGTTTATATCTTATGGATGGTATTGTGTTTAAGGTATTCAAACCTGAAGAAATTTAAAAGAAAACCCAATTTTTTTCTCATTTGATCCAAGCTTGTTTCACATTTGATACTTTTTATGGTTTTGTGATCTCTCTGTCATTATCCTTTAAAAGATAGTCTCTTTAAGTTAATATTCTAACCATATCTCATAATCCCTTTTTAATATTTTTCTTTATTACTGGGATGCTGTTCCACAATCTCTTTCCTGTGATCATTAGAAAGGCTTGTATTAATTTGCAGTCTCTATTTATTCATGGCCAAGGTTTCCTCACTTGTTCTTTTGACAACATTCTCATTGGGTTTAAATAGCTCTCCATCTTTTCTTTAACTCACTCTTTTAGAACCTCAGTTGTATATTGAGATATTAGTCATTTCCTAGGTTTTGGGGGGTTTTTTTGCTATATTAAACAAGCCAAGCTCCGCTTGTCTCTTAAAATAGGCTTTTATTCTTTATGTCATCCCAATAGCCCTGCTCTGCTGTGAATCTGTCTTTCATGAAAATAACTGAGCACGATCTCCCCTGTGTGCTCTCGAGGAATGCTGTCTTTAGTGCTAGCTGGCTCTGTGGGACCTGCTTGGCCCAGTGCACCCTTACTCATTACTTCAACTGGTGACTTGTAGTTGCCCTATGATCGCCAATATTTGCAAGTCTGTCTTTCCTTCTGCCACTCATGAGGGAAATTTTTTTGTTGCTCTTGTTCGAATGGAAGATATTTCACCTTGTGCATTTAAAGTAAATCTCTTCTCTGTGTCTCAAGATATCCAGCTCCCCTTCTATCTGGATCCCCCTCTGCACTGACAGGGCTTTGGGTCATTAGTGCAGTTCGTTGCCACGGGTCTGCTTTGTTGTAGCAAGAACATTATTCCTATTGGCATTTCCCATCATCATTAATCAGCTGTACTAATAGCTGTCCCAGAGGCTGTGCTTCCCCCTTCTTCACAAACCACTGTCATCTCTGCCTTGGCCAATTACCTAATTATAATCTTATGCTTTTCACTTTTTCTATTGCTCTAGAGCTACAGGTATGTGAGATTTACAGCACTTGGTTTATCTAGAAAGTCATGTATCTTGAAATAGCTCTGTATTGTGGAGCAAGTGTGTTGGGAAATTGCTTTTCCTTCTCATGGTCCACTCAATTTCTTGTCTGACTGTCACCCTAATGTGGTGTGTAGCAAAAGGCACTAGAAGAACCCGTTACTTAGGCATGGAGTTCACTTGCAGCGTACCTGCTATGCTGCCAGACTGAATCCATTAATGTTCATTGGGAAGTACAGTAACAGGTATTAGCACAGCTTAGGTAGGAGACAACTCTTAATCTTCATTCTGCTGTTCAAATGAACGCGTGCTCTGCTCACACTTGCCTGTGCTTAATGGAGCAATTTCTGTTCCTCTGTATTGAATTCAGCCACTCTTTGTGTACAGGGAGGCTGAAGTGATGGCAATGCAGAGAGGGGCCTGGGTAGATGAAGCCAAGCTCAGCTTTTATTTTGAAGTCCAAATATCTTGTTTATCTGGCTCTCTGCATAAACAGTTTCACTGCAGGGTTTCCTGAGAAGCCAGGATTAAGTGCATTAGAGCAAACTACTTTGGAGTAATACACAACAAGCCATAGTAAATGTAACCTTGGTGACAGCAGAGAGAAAGGCAGATACCTTCAGGGTGAGACAGGGTCCCATCAAACACCAGTGACAGGGCTGTCGCCAGCCCCACCTGCCCCGAACTTCTGCACCGGGAGCAGCAGTGAGACGTGGCCTCCCTTAAGGACCCATGTCAGCAGTAAAAACATAGCTTTGCTTGTGCTTATCACTCATTTTGGCAGGTGATAGTCGTGAGTGCACAGCAGGTAATCTGTGGGTACGCTATCAACTCTTCCTCTCTCCCTTGTTATGGAAGCCCAGCTCCATGTCCCTCTTGGATGGCACAGACCAAAATGCATAGGTCGGTGCCTGCCCTGTAGCTCAAATTGGTTCTTGGTGGCTTTGTTCAGGTGTGCTGCAGTAAGATGTGCCACTTCTGGCATAAAGAACTATTCTGTAGGGACATAACCTCTCCCTGCTCGCTTCAGAAAGCCAATTATATCCTTTACCTTTTTTCTCTTGCGATCCACTCTGCAAGTTTAAACATTGTACGATACAGTTTAGAACTGCTCTAGTGCATCATTAGTATCAGCTCAGCACCATCTTAAATCCATAGTTGATTTGGGCTTCTCTGATGCCAGTACATACCTAAGTGAAATATATAGACTGAAAAAAAACCCTCATAAAATTCAGCAAACCGTGCCATGTTTTTTGTCTGTTCAAAAAGCATGTCCTTAGTAAAAATGAGAGCAAGGGTGAGAAAGAAGAATATTAAAGCAAACGTGTTAAGACTATGAGAAAGCACATAACAATGTATTGCAAGATAAATCATCTAATCCATAGTTCCATAGTTGTTGTCCATGACAAATGCAATGTAATTGGAATGATTTTGACTTACAAGAAAGGTTAATTAACCCGTGGTTCTTCAGTTCTTGGTCATATACTAATACAGTTTCAGCATGATTGTGGTTTTCTGTCACTTAATGGTTGGGGCCATCTCCAGGGACAAAGATCAGGATTTAAATGCCCACTCAGGGTTTAAAGAGGGACTTGAGCCCAGGCCTCCTGTGCTGCGGTCTCTTAACTACTAAGAACGATGATAAAAAAAGGGCAGGTGATTGGATGTGGTTTTGAATGAGTGGTCAGGATCTTCCTTGGGGTTCCTGTGCTGTGAGTATTTGTTATTTTGTGCCTTGAGCATGCCTGCTGGACTCATTTCTCGTAGTTTAGATGCAAGCTGACTGATTCTGGCATTGCAAACAGGCTTTGGTGTGAGCTGGGAGGCTTTATGTTTAAAAACCAAAGTGCTGGTGGACTCTCAAGTACCTAAGCAGAAACAGTCTTGAACTTTAAAAGTTTAGGTACCTCTGCTATTTTGGGACCGAGGCACTGAGCAGCTCTGCAGTGTTTTGTATGTGCGACCCAAATTTGTTAAGCAACATTCCCACTCTTCTGTGTGCTGCATGCGAGGAGCAACGCTGCCGCCGTCGTCTGTTCAGCCTCGTCTGACCGCAAGCACCATTTGCTGCTGGAAGGGCTTCCCTACATGCGCATCCCCGGGAGCAGCAGTACCTAGTAACAAGTGTGATGGTGTGACTTAGAGTGCAGTAGCAGTCAGCACAGCAGCAGCATCACCATTTTGAATTCCAGTTCTCCTTATAAATCAATTCAAGTCTGTTTTCAAAGATCCTGGTCAATATGGATGAGGAGCATCTTCTACATCTTTGTCTACTACTGTATAACTTCAGCCAGACTGTTGTATCTCTCCTTTCTCATCTTGTATGTTCTCAAAATGCCAGCCTAGCTGTGTCCCTGGTGTAATGGAGAAAGCCCCTGAAAAGTCTCACAAGCCTTTGGTTAATCAACTTTAACCTTTTCTTACTGATACAGCTTAAAAAATATAAATTGACAGATAGGATTGAAACCCCTACTTTTTCCAGGAGCAGATGATTCTGGAGATCCCTCCAACTGATGCGTGATGTTTATCAGGCAGACATAAGATCTGACTTAAAAAAAGGATCTTGTAAGCTTGTGGAGGTTTACAGCAGTTGCCATGCGCATCAGACTGTATCTTAGAGGGAGCAGTATTTTAACCACTTTTGTGTCCAGGAGAAATGTCAGACAATTGTAATCTCTCAGGGACATTTCTTTGTAACTCTGGTGCTTTAGATTTTGAAGGTTTTTATCCTTTATATATTTCCTTTAACCTGTTAAATGTGATGGGTGTTGTATATGCTGGCCCCGAACTCAACTCCTAAAGACTTAACTCTGTACTAGCAGCCTCTGCACTGAGATTAATGTTTTTACATGGAACTAAACTATTTGTACCCCAAACTATTAGGGTACAAAATACATAACTGATGTAACATACTGAAAAGTAGTGTTTTTCAGATGCACAACTGTTTTGTGATCATAAGCCCATATACTGAAGTGCTTAAACACTCCACTAGGAGCCATACTGATCATAGGTGAAAAATCAGCATCATCGTAGAGAGCGAGCTTTGCTTTTCCACCCTTCTGAGTCTGCCTTTTCTCTCTTGCAGCTTGTGGATGTGACCTGGCTCAAGGAGGATTTTTTGTGAGACAGGGAGACTACATCTGTACTTTGGACTACCAGAGACTCTATGGCACACGGTGCTTCAGTTGTGATGAATTCATTGAGGGAGAAGTGGTCTCAGCACTGGGCAAAACCTATCACCCAGACTGTTTTGTGTGTGCTGTCTGCAGGTATGTTTTCTACAAGAAGTTGTGTTTCGTTTAAAAACTAGATTATGAAAGATGAATGCCAAGCGTTCGAACTTAATAGTTTGTAGATGGAAAAAAAAAGTTTAGTTTTTTACCATCCACTTCTTAAAAAGTAGCAGAATTAAAAAAGAAAGCAAATTCTGCGTGCCTCTCTGTTTCAAATGCTTTTTGTGTTTAATGGTATCTTATGTGTGAGGTCTCCGAAGTACTTGAGAAACTGCTGCTGCCTCTGCTGCCAGGCCGTTAGCCCAAATGCTGCTTTATTTCTCTGGTGTCTGCTATTCTGTCTTTCGTTGACTGAAGTTACGAAGGATTCAAATGCCAGTGGCTGAGTCTTCAGAGAGCAGAGTGGATACTGTATGAATAGATTTAACCCAAAGTTTCACAGTGCTGCTTCCCAGAAACTCCAATTGTTGTTTAAAATAGGACAGACAGGTCGTTGACTCACAGACACTTATGTGTGTGGATTTCACCAAGCGTCTCCAGCAGCCATGGAGGTGACAAGTGACACGGCACACAAGGTTTCCCCCCACCCCCAGCAGCCTGGTTAGGGTTCAGTGGGGTCATTTCCCACGTGGGTACATGTGATGTTGTGACCCAGCGTTGGTGGGGGATGTTTGCAGGCTCTGCAGTAGAAGCAACTGATGTCCGTTTGACCTGCGTCTTAATCCTCTTCTTGGGAAATAGCACAAACAATTCTGTTGAAGACTTCAGGAAGAAACTTTTAAGTCCACCACGCCTTCAGGAAATGCAGTTATAGCAGTTTGGAGTGAATGGAAATATTACAATATTTTTTCCAGCTAAATTTGAGCCTTTAGAAATACAAGAAAAGTAACCCCATGTTCAAAGGACAAGCACAAACGGGGCTCTGGTGTGCCACATTGTCGATGCTGTACGTGCTGGTGCCACATTCGGGTGACTGCATGGCTGTGTCACTGGGGCCGCCTGCCAGCCGGATCTGCCCAGCTCATAGGGCTGCTGAGCTCAGATGTCATAGAATCATAGAATGCTTTGGGTTGGAAGAGACCTTTAGAGGTCATATAGTCCATTCCTCCTGCCATGGGCAGGGACATCTTTAATGAGATCAGGTTGCTCAGAGCCCCATCCAACCTGGCCTTGAATGTTTCCAGGGATGGGGCCTCCACCACCTCTCTGGGCAACCCGTTCCGGTGTTTCACCACCCTCACTGTAAAGAATTTCTTCCTTATATCCAACCTAAATCTACCCTCCTTTAGTTTAAAACCATTACCCTTTGTCCTGTCACAGCAGGCCTTGCTACAGAGGTTGTCCCCATCTTCTCTATAGGCCCCCTGTCCTCCTGTGCTGATGCAGAAGCAGGACTTCAATTTCCAAAACAGCTGTGTTTTATGGCAGGATATCAATTTAATGTATCAATTGCAGGAATAATTAAATAGCCATGTTAAGGGAAAGACTCTGTGACTGACAAGCCCTTTATTGCATTAAATTCTGTCTGTTCAAGTTTTGCTGTGTTTAATAGGAGATTTTTTTTCCTTTTGGATATTTAAACAAACATGAAGATTAAAGATAATAAAAACCCCTAAAATCTTTTTTTTTTTTTTTTTTTTTTAATAGGAGGAAAAATTATTTAGTTGGCTAATTGTGAATCTCATGAGTTCACTGCTGGCTGCACATGCCCCTGGCCTGCAGCCTGTCAGTCTGTCAGTATTACAGCTCTTCTGCAGATGAACACAGCCAATTCTTGGTACCTTTCTTCTTAGCACTAGTACCTCTCTAAAGTGAGGTACTTCTTCATTTAAGAGAAAACGAAGAACTGATTGATTCCATTTTCCTGCTAAATGTGCTTGTGTCCTCAGTCACCCCATTAGGGTTTAGCATTGAGGCATAAATTATTTACCTGTGTGTTACCTTACTTAGTAGTTTGGTACCTGACTTAGGTCTCACACAGGCCATTGGATGTACTAACCTCTTGCTGTATTTAGTCAGTCCATCAGCTGATAGTTTGGAGCTTGGTGGTACAATTTGTCTTGTTTCCCTGGAAATTCAGAACAATTTTCTGTATGCTTAAGCTACTTATTCTTAGGTACGTAACAATTCAGATGAGCTGAATTGCAGTACAATGAAAATACTCACTAGAACATGCTACAAATACCATGTGTATTGAAGACATGCTAAAGCTTTTAAAAATGAAGTCCCTGAATAGTATTTAATATAAAAAAAAAAAAATTCAGAGATCATAGAATCATAGAATGTTTTGGGTTGGAAGGGACCTCTAGAGGTCATCTAGTTCAACCACCCTGCAATGAGCAGGGACATCTTTAATGAGATCAGGTTGCTCAGAGCCCCGTCCAACCTGGCCTTGAATGTTTCCAGGGATAGGGCCTCCACTACCTCTCTGGGCAACCTGTGCCAGTGTTTCATTGCCCTCATTTTGTATAAGAATGTCTTCCTTATATGTAGTCTAACTCTACCCTGTTTTAGTTTAAAACCATTCCCTAACCTTCTGTATAACTAAATAGTTGGATTAAATGCTCTTTCACTGATGAAGTTTCTAAATGCTGCCATCTAAAACTTCAGTAGAAGGACCCAGTTTTACTTCCCTTGCTTTCCTCAGAAGGACACACAAATTCATGCTGTCTTCATCAGAGCCAGCTAATGCCCTGCTGACGAGCAGGATTCAATTAGTGACTCCCAGGGGGGTTGTAGCGCTGACTTGTGGTGCAGAGCAACAGAAGAATTCTGTCATCTGTTTATAGTAAAAACAGTCGACCAGGTCCTTGACTGCTTTAAATCAGCATTGCTTCAATTATCCCACTCTTTGCAAGCCAGACATAATTTACGT